AGCTGCTACAAGCATATGCACCTCAAATGTTCCTTCAGACATATCTTTTTCTGTATTTATATAAACAGATGTTTTTGTATCCAAACCCAGTGAATTATTTCTTCTCTCTACATATTCTGATTAGCTGAGTTATAATAATTCATGTTTTTGTTTTTTAAAGCCCACTCAAGGACACATGATCAGATTAAAGTACTAGATCAATAAAACAAATGCTTTAGACAAAGGTCATTAATTGTTATACTACACTTACAGTGTAAATAATGTATTATACTCATACCCCTTAAATAAGGTCTTGTTGGTGTGCTCTCAAAGAAACGTGGTATACAGAAGATCAATAGTTTAGTTTCAGTTTACCTTAGAAACCTTAAACAGAGATAAAAGGAAAGTGAATATTGGACTTACATTCACCAGGCAGATGGCCAAAACTCTACTTAAAATAAACGCTCTACTCAATTGTGATCTTCATGTAAACTAAGGCTGGATTCCATTTAGCTGCTTCAGTTTCAGGGTCCCATGCTTACACACTGTCATAGTTTACTGAATAGAACAAAGCCATTCTTTATGTTATTATAACACCTGTGCTCCTTCTGCTATGACAAGTCAAAACTCTATATGGTGTTACTTCTCCATCATAAATTCACTGACTCTGTGACAGTTTGAACATTATATGTGACTGGTTACACTATTACAACCTTTCAGAGTAAAAGCCTCCTTTCATTGCCACGTTACATGATATAATTGTGAAATTATACTTGTACTTTTTGATCAGAAATTCAAATGTGATGAACAGAATGAGTATTGTGATAAAATAGGCTTATTTCACAGGGTGACTGTAGAATCATTCAACTGCAGGAAATCTTCATCATTGTTGGCAAGCACCAAGCATGCTGAACCAAGGAGAGCCATAAATTCTCACATTGTTTAGATTCATGCCATTTCATTTCAGTCCATAGAGATTTATCTCGGTGTTATGATGGACACTACGGGAAGGTCTTTAAGAGTTTCCTCATAAAAAACTTCTGTTTGCATCCCAAAATGCAAAATGTTTTTGTCATGTTGCTCTTTAATGTCAAGTCAGAGCTTGTATTTGTTTACATACGTCGGACATAATTTACTTGCCGCAGATATGCACCTTGAACATAACACAAGAAAACCTGGGCTGACAAAGAAAAAGAAGCCTATTCACTTGGCACTATGCATGCTCATGCTGCTTATCCTCCTCTGCCCTTGGCTCATCCATTTTCACATTCACCTTTACCGTTCTGTCTGTGTTGCTTCCCCTGCATCCAGCAGCAGCCTGTGATTTATTGCAAAAACGAAAAAGAAAAAAAGAGTCCAGTTTTTGGCCTTGATTCATGAATGAGTCATTTTAACGTGAGAAAAAAGATAAATCTTTTTATGTTAGTTTCTTAAATTAATGTAAATTCTATTCACGACTTGTTGAAGCCCTGACTGAAGCCCTGACAGTCACCTCCGTCTCACCACCTTCTTCTTCTATCTTATCATCTTGTGAACACAACACTTCAACTGACTCGCACCACCTCACCTTGCTCTCAGCTGTCCCCTGTGATTAGAACAAAGGCCTGTACTCTGATCTTATATTCCAGGTTCGTTCTCCCATGTGCTCTGTCCCCTTGCACAATGCCTTGGTGGATATTTTTTTCGTCCTGCAGACCTTGTTACATATTTTACCACCTGAGTTTTTTCTTTGTGATCACGTTTCTTCAGACATATGCAGTCTCACTGCTGGATAAATGTGGAAGAGAGAATTGCAGTTTGTGTTGTTGTGTTGCTATTAAAACAAGACACAGACCATTTCTTCTCTGCCTGACTTGGCGAAAAAATTTTACATTTTTTAAGCAGCAAAGAGAAACTGGTATTTTACTTTAAGAAAATAACATGGCAGTTATAATGTTTGCAATAATAGGGGTGCCTGGATAGCTCAGCTGGTAGAGCTCCCCATGTACCAAGGATAAGTCCTTGAAACTGTGGCTAAAGGTTTGAATCCAACCTGTGGCCCTCTGCTGCGTGTCATCCACTCTCTCTCTCACCCACTTCCTATCAACCTTCAGTGGTCACTGTCTGTTAAAGGCAAAAAAGCAGCAAAACTGTTCCTGTCCAAGAAATAGTCATGTAAACATGAAAATTGAAGTTTTTACATTTCAGGTTTTGTATGGATTAAATAAATGAGATATGAAGTTTACATAAATATCAAATATATATCAAAATGAAACTTATATAATAATTCAGTATTATTGTTTACTCTCTTTCCATGTTAAAGTTCTTCTATCAAAATATCAATTAACAACATGTTACCTAACACATTTAAAAACAGGAGAGGGAAAGAATATAGAAAAGAAAGTCCACTCGCCAACATTACCACTATACCACCTCACAACATACAGTTGAATTAACCTCTAAGAAGGTTTTTTATCAAAAGCATTATAACCTTTGCAAAAGAAAAATATGTGGCAGAGCTGCGGTACTAGATTAAACTGGGCAGAGTGTATGATTAATAAGAAAAAACTATCATTGGCATTTCAGTCTTAGGGTTTTCTTCATCAGACTGCTGAAGGAATGCTCTGCTGCTTTGAAAAAGGGAATATTTCATTGGACTTTATTATGTTTGACTCATTCAATAAGTTCTCTCTCCTTGAGAGTATCTTCATATTTCTTGAAAATAATAGGATTTCTTTTTTTTACTCTAAAAATAACCAGACTAGTCTGCAGCAGTGCTAGCAGTTCTGTGAGGCTGTTTTGGCAGCACAGTGGTGCTAAATGCTAACAGGTTTTAGTTTAGCACGTGCACCATATACACAAACATTTGATTTGAAATCAAATGCTAATGCGTACAATATGTGTTGAGATATTTCTCTCTGGACCAAAGTAGAGGACCAACAGATGGACAGACCAGAACTGTCCATTATTATTATCCATAGAGTTGCCAGTAGGCTAAACCCACAGACACACACACACACACCCATTACAAATCAACAAATCAAATACAAGACTTTTTTTTATTGTTGCATAATAACTTTTCTGTTCATGTCCTCCTAGAGAAACTACATAAACAAAAGCAAAATAGATGGGACATTTTAACTGATTAATTTAAAATGTGATAATGGGATAAAGTTTGGAAAATGAAATGCTAGTTTGGTACCATTTCATCCTTTTAAGGAGGAGATCTCATTTCATTTTCAATTTATCTGTTTAATTGAAGTTGCCACCACCTCGTTGTACAGGCTGTGGGCATTTTATTTCAGTTTCAAACAACTACTTTGTTGAGTCTGCTTTACTTTTCCATATTTCCACCTCAAAGTAACAATGGCGCTACACCAGGGTTGAAGCAACAGTTGCATCCCTTTGACTTGACAGTGAATAATAGCTGCAGTCTCTTTGTTTTCATGATGTTAATGATCCATTATACCTCAGCTTACCACCTACAGTACATATATACATATGTCAACAGGCAGAGGGATAAGCGTACTGTAAGCATTCATTCACATTCATCACACTTCATTGTGTGTGTAATTACTGTTGCCATGGTAATATTTGCAATATTGTGTTCTTTCAGTTATTAAGGGCCATAAAGGGATATTCATAAAGCTATTAAAGTGGATATGAATATCTCCATGTGTGACCTTATGTTGTGGTTCTTTCAACCTTTTATCTGTTAGGGTTTGCCTGCATTTATCAAGGATTTCCTGCGCATACTGTATCAAACCTCAGAGAACAACTTATTTTGAATCAAAAGTGAGCGCACAGACATATAAAATAAAACACTCATAATCTTGGCTGTGACCCTTTCTTCAAATTATCATCAAGAATAGTGGTTTATCTGGTGGTTCCTGTTTTTTTTTTGGTGTTTACTTTCATTGAGTCATGTTTTATTGTACACAATGAAAAAACAAATCCTCTTTGTGTCTAATGAATAGACTTCGTGACATGAATTGAAATACACGAAGGTGCTTGTAAAAAGGATTTATATAGAAGACAATAAAGCAGAGGCATTTCTTTAAAAAGTTTGAAAGCATTTCATTGGAATGATACTATTCTATAATAATGTCAAATATATAAGCAATTGCACAAGAGCTGTAAGAATATAGGGACAAAAACCTCACACAAAACAAATGTACCACTGAGACAATGTTTCAAAGAATCTCTGTGGCCTGGATCGACTACAGAGTTGCCTTGAAAAACTCTGAACACTTTGAAATGAGGAAATGAGGCTTTCACCAGATGGTCACAGAGGGTGGCTGCCTCTCAGAAAAAGATTTAAATGGATGGAGTTGTTCGGTTGTCTTGGGGAACAATCAGTCTGATGAGGGTTTAGTTATTCAGTTTCTTATTGTGGAGAGCCTGCAGGGGTGAGTGCTCCTATGTTAAAGTCTGTATACAGCACAATGCCAGGTGGCTTATGTTGTCCTGACAGTGCAAGAACCTATGCTATATATTCTACAGTTATAGTTTTTACTGAGAAAACATATTGCAGATGAGTCATATTTTGCAGCTTAATGAAAAACATGACACTGAGGGCTGTACTATTCACAAAGAGGATGCTGATAGATCCTCCTGCGCTGCTTCAACACAAATCCTATGGAGAGTTTTTGGTTCCACCTGGTGGTCGCCTTTAGTACAACCACTGCACATTATCTCCAGGCTTATTGCCCTGAGATGGTGCTGTAAGTTGTGTGAGCTATGGGACATCCTCCTTAACTTGATTAGAGCACACTTTACTGCCTCCCAAATCAAGCTAGCAGCCCGTTAATGTGATTGAGTCAAGGGCTGACTCAACAAATGAGGAATTGCTACTAATTAAACAAATGGACTTCACTGACTGGACAATGATGAAAATGTTGTGCTGTAACAAGACCGGGAGCTGAAGGCCAATAACATTAATCTTTTTTGTCCTTAAAGATGTGAGAAGCATATAAATCTCCCTAACTAATGCCCTAAATGAATCCTTAACGCAGGATCAATAACAAAAACACAGACATGTGTAAAAGGTCACTGGTCTTTGGTTTAATTGATATTACAGTACAAACAGTAAAACAAGGCACTGCGGTCAATCAGTGAAATGTGAAGGCCATGGAAGAAGAAAAAGATAAGATGCAGTGATAAAAAGAAAAAAAGCTCATAATGTGGTCTGCAAAATAAAGACAGAGCTACATGTTGTCCTGATGAGTCTTCTACTCGCCTCCACACAGCTCCAGCAGGATTTTGCGGTAGTCGCCAGACGTGTCTCCCTGCACAGTTAGAGAATCAGTGAGACTTCAAAGGATAAGTGGAGGGAATAATCTTAGCTTTGAAAAACCCAGACAATATTACTCATGATATGACTTTAGATAATGAAATAAAAGCTCAAAGCTACATTTCATTAAGTTAGAATCATTATTATTAGTAGTATTATTATTATTATTTCACAGCTGATGTATTGCAAAGCTTTTGCTGACTACAGCATTTCCCGCCCCAAGTTTTTAGTGCCTCACCTTGATGAAGGAGTAGAGAGTCTTGCCATACATCTTCAGGAACTGCGCCTTAATGTCCAACATGTCAATCTCGGCCCTGGCTACCATTATTCTGATGAGGACACTATCCGTAGTGCCCAGCCCCTGACAAAAGAGAGGGAGAATGAGTTTATACTGTGCCAGACTTTGCCCTCTGGTTGTTTTTACCAAATATAGTATGAAAAAATCAGTCCGATTGCATCACAAGCATAAAATATTTACCTTCATTGATTTGTATAGTCGCTCTGCAAAGAACGCTTGCTTGTTCCTAATGCATTTCACTGTAAAACAAAAAACAAATCCCAGCACTTTCACAACATGAAGATAATACATTCACTGCTACAAGCTCAAATTTGACACACAGAGGGTGGACTTAATAAAAGAGATGCTTTACAATAAAGGCATATACTACCAACAACTGTATTTCTCTGATTCTTCACAACATTAGCAGTTATTGTATTTGATTACATTGATTGTCTATGACTTTTGAGCTTCAACAGTCAAAAGCCAGGTAGTCACTGCAGTGTGGTTCTCCGCTAAACTTTCCACAGACCACTTGGTAAACCAGCAGCACATACTATACTGCAGTGTGTCCTTTTATTTTTTATGAATCTTTATAAATTAGCAGCCGATGTGCATTTGAAGGAAGAGACAGACCTATGGCCAAAAAGACATCCTCCAGAGAGCCAGACATCTCCCTCTTAATGCTTTCCTCGATGTCTCTTCCAGAAATCTTCTGATACTCCTCGAACACTGAGAAACAATAAGATTAATGGCACCAATTAAAGAACAAATCCACCAGTGTCACACACTGATTTTTCATTATCAAACTCATAACACATGAATAAAGATTAAAGTGAGTAGATTCTATTATATAATTTCTGTAGCTAAGTTAAAGGACCAGTGTGCAGGATTCAGTGACATCTAGTGATTAAGTTGCAGATTGCAACCATTTGAATGCCAAGAGATCCTCCTAAATTTTACACACTGGACCTTTAAGTAAAAGGAAGCATATTCACGTGACACAAAACACTAATAATCACAAGGGTATTAAGTCTGCAGATGTTAGCATGATGTGTGTGCAGTAAGAATACCTCGCAGCAGATGGTTTCGGTTCCTCACACAAAGCACAGTGAGGAATTTAACCTCGTCCGTGCCCCATCGAGCCTCACCAGCCTCATAGATTTCCTATAATCACAAACATTAAAAAACTGAGGGTCCTAACTGACACTTATACTTTCATCTAAGAAAAAAAAAAACCTGAACTCTTGCCTTGGCATCTAGAACAGCCTGGGCCTCGTCCACTTTGTCGCTTTCATCCCGTCCAGCCTGCAATGCAGAAGACACAGCAGCTTAGGAGAAAATGGGTGTACGATTACACACACAAAAAAAAAAGTTTTATGATGTAGACGTAACTATTGCTTTCTCTTCCCTAAACAGACTCTTTCAGTGGTTTAAAAGTTCATACTGAGTCATCCTGTGTGTCAAAATACTTTCATTCTGACAAATAAGCTCCAAGTAAAAAGGAAGGAAAACTGAAAACTGATCTCATGAAATGCTATTTTTCCCAGCAAGATACAAGTAAATGAAAACTTTTCACTTGAATATCACTTTGAATTGAATTTGACTAAAATGTTGATATAATCTATAATAACTAGCATGGCATTAAAACATTCACATTGGTCCAAGGTTATGGGCTACTGTTTGCTCACCGTGAGTAAAGACACCAAAACCCTCTGAAACATTCCAGATGTGTCCCCACACACATCATCTTCCAAGGATTTTTCATATTCTGCCATGAAAAACATAATACAGAAATTAATTAATATAGTGTATGTAATCTGAATTTCCAGACACAATAGGGCAGAAAATCAATCCAAACAGACAAACACATAGTACAAACAATACATTAGGTTTTAATGGCTAGAGCTGTTAGCAAACGGTTACCCACTTCTCAAGTGACAACCTGACTAATGAACTGTAAAACCCAATATTCACTTCCCTTTTACTTGTTTTAGTTCTCACAAACTCCCCAGGAAGATATCTGTGGCTTCGTACATGTTAAACTATGTTCGATTTGATAACTCACAATACTGGGTTCACAATATGATTTTCTTTTATTTTTAAACAAAAATAAAATTAAAGACTAATTACCACTGATTATTTTCTTTCTCAGACAAAAATCTACAAGATATATTTTCTCTTATATTTCTTTATCAAACTATAGAATCCATTTTTGTATAAACTGTGCAAAACAAAGCATTATTCCTTTGCTTTGTAAAAGTGATCCAGATGTCTTTTGCACCTTGATACAGCTAATGATGCGAGTGACGTAGGAAATCAAACAAGCAAAGTCAAAAGTAGATTAGCAGAAAAGAAAAGCAGATGTGTTCATTCTTTGTGATTTCTGCACTGAGTGACTTTAACCTAAAATCACAAGTACTGATTATTGCACGTTTAAGGAGTTATGAGCCATACTTTCTATTAGGATAGTAAAAAATAATAAGGTTTGGAACTGAAATATTTACAACTGAATCCAGTTTTATTAATATTCATTGTATTATGATCCATATTTACCAACTGTGCTGGTGTAATTAGTACAAAACATATACATGTAAGTGATACAGCAATGCATCTTAACAACAATATAGACAAAGCCATTTATTTTCACACTTGGAAAAAACTTGCTGACTACTGTCATTGCAGCCACAGACGAACAAATGAGCAAAACAATAAACTGCCACATAGAAAGCAGCAATGGCTTTTATGAATAATTTATGCCATCCATTGTTTTCTAATAATGGAGGTCATTGCATCTCCAAGCACAGAACAGAAGCTTAGTCACTGATCCACAATATCGGATATCATACACAACCTATAGGCGCTAACAGACACGGAGACAAACCATTACCTGACGTCAGAAACTCTCTTCCTAGAAGGGACGCGCTTACCTTTCTTATAGAAAGCATTGATGGTTCGTATTTCAGCATTTGACCTTGATGCGAGAACGTCGATGAGACAAGCCTCCTCTGTTCCAGCCCCCTGTGGTGAATGGATGCGTTCAAAACAAGATATAAAGACACTAGAGGAAACTACAGGAAACGTAGGTTGAACAGTATGTTCTATGTTTTTGTTGCTCTCAACAAATCCAATAAAAAGACCAAAATCTACAATGCGTTTGTCAGTCTCAATACTTTTCCACTTTCCCACCCATCTACTGAAGACATGTCACAAATACATTACAATACTTTCACTACAATAATGTCCTAGAACTCACACAGGAATACATTGTGTATTTGTTGGGGACTATTTTCAGCCACGGATGAATACACATCTGATGCACTAATGAGTATTTACAGCAGCAGAAAGGTGTATGTGGGATTGAGTCAAACTAAACTACAGTGGCCAGGTTCATTGTAATGAAGGAACATGTCACACAGTGCAATGATGTGTATGAATGGTGTGTTTTTGGACAACAGTGGTACAGAAGAATGAGATTAACCAAACCTTTGGACAATACTTGTTAGAGGGTGAATTCATTGTTGGTTTTGGCCTTTACATTTTTGACAATCCCCAGACTTATCCTGTGTTAATGAGAAACTCTGACCTTTATTGCATTTCTCAGCTCATAGGCATCATACACAGGGGCCAGCATCAGCAGACCTAGAACGACACTCCTGAAGTTCCCACTCAGCTCTGAGGACAGATCTTCAGCCAGGTCCTGCAGGAGGAAGGGAACAGATGGATTAACAGGAAGTGAACCAGTCTTTTCCCCGTACTTCAATACTTTCATTGAGATCTGTAACGAAAGCTGACTATCGTTGATGTTGAAATAAGTAAACACCGGCTTTGTTTTCGGGTTATTTTTGTGCTGCCAGCGTGGACGTGGGTCATGACTTCACACATTCCACACTTGTGTCCCCGCTAGAGGGTGTGGTTTATGGACACAGAGGAGCTGTTCCACACCGCTCGTCTGTGTGACCACATGTGGGCGTCGCCATGTGCAACATGACTCACTCTTTCTGCCTGCGAGGATTTCCACTCACAAGCTTAGCTTTTTCTGCAGTTCCCTCACAGGAACTTTCAGGCAAATTTACCGACATCTTACTGGATATCATCTCATTATGTCAATACAGTTAACATCCCATCTTCCCTTTTAGTTAATATATTGATCCATATAACTGTGAAACAAAGAAACGGTCAGCGTGAAGCGTATCTCTGTGGGTGCGCTGTATGTTATTTTATAGAGGGGCACATTCCTCTTTCCTACACATTACAAGGCCCTCTCTGTCTCTGTTGTTTGTTTACAGGTGGTATTCATTTCTGCTTTACGGTTAATGGTTAACTTGCACGCTATCAGCACTATGTTAGCACAGCAAAACCCCACCTAAAGTGAAAAGGATGAGAGAGTACACAAAGGAATAAGAAGAGATGACACATCCACTGCTCAAATTCTTTCAGTACTAATCTCTGTGCTTTCTCAATGCACGATGATGAAAAACATTTTGCTGCCTTTGAGTACAGCTCAGTCAAAACTCTCACCTTCCCCACGGCTTGTTTGTAGGCCTCTTTGACACGCTGCCTCTGGGCAATAGTACGATGTGCTAGGACCTCGATGACAGCTGCCTCATCAGTGCCTGCAAGAAATAATACAATATAGAATCTTTTAACCTTAACCAATATTAATGCAAACTATCTAGATTTGACATTCCTATTCTTGGAGCTCAATTTAAGGGTGGGGCTTCAGCCCCAATGTGTAGGACAGAGACTCAGGCACTAGCACTGCAGCCCTGGAGATGATCCTAACACACAGTTGTTTTTTTGGCATCGGCATAGAAACCATCTGTTTGCAATAGCGCTCAAACTAGAGTCACGGGAAGGTGATTACTCTAGGAAACCTTAACAACATCAACATTCCACTACATGAATGTGCTGATAGCGGGGGGAAAAATGTGATCGTTAGATACTCCTAAATGTGTGTTCATCTTTGAGTGTTACATAGCTGCCAACATGGTTTCAGAACTGTGCAACCTATAATGATATTAGTTTACTACTACTTCCTGCACGATCAGCAAAGTCTAGATTAATTTTCCCTTCATATCAGGAGTGGAGAGGAAGCTTTACAGCACAACGTGTAGAGGTGAGGCAAAGTACAAGGACGCACTCAGCAGAATTAAGTGACAGTGAAAATAGAAAGTTGCCATGACAACACAAGCACTAAGCAACACTGAATTTAGTTTCCAAACTTTCCTGGAGAGGAGGAGAGAGGCTGAGGAAAATAATAATTACATTTTTCCCCCCATGGCGGCCTGGTCTCTACATATTCAACAGATCTTTGGCTAATGACGGTTTTATGGATGAAAGTGGTTCAATCACTCACCAGCTCCCTTCATGGCTCCTCTAAGCCTCTGGACATCTGCCTCTGGGTCAAAACCAGCCGCCTCGGTCACGGTTCCACGGTTTCCAATCTGGTCATAAATCAAACAAATTACAACCATTTATTATTAATATGCAGACAGACACAAAGCGTAAAGTCCACATAAAAGGTGTGTTTTGATTATTGTTACTTCAGTGGGATGTTTGACCTTTTCACATTGATCTGCTGGAGAGGGAAAGTTTCTCTGAGATAACCTTCAATCTGAGTTCAAGCTGTATGAGCAGGAAGTTTCTGGCTTCACGATTTTAGTTAAGAAGCCAATCAAGCATCAAATACTTAATGTTGAAATTTAAATCATCCAGCACACTGGGAAAGACATTTCACGTCCAGCTGTTAAACTTTTGAGATGAAGAATATTTGCATTTCCATAGATTCTAAATTTAATGAGAAGGAAGGAGAAGATTTGCTTTTCAAACCAAAAATCCGTCTAATTATTATCCAAAGAGTATTTTATATGACTTAAAACACACGTGGATGGGAGCTTTAAAGACTAAATAACATCTATAAAAAGGTAAGTAACGCTACACAGCAGAGTTATTCATCGGAGAGCAAGATGTGTTTTATCATTTCAAAATGCAGGATAAACTTTAAGTCATTGCAAACCTTTTACATCCATTAGGAGAATATTTTTTAGGTTTTAGTTGAAATTAGAATCACAAAAACCAAAAGGTTGTTTTTAAACTAATATATGGCATCACTTCAGTCAGGCTAAACTGCTGATAAATTGTATTGAACTGCGAGGTAGAATCATGAGTAACAAAGAAGAATTCAAAATAATACAGATTTTTGTGCAAACTATATCTTTAAATGTACACTGCTCAAAATATTTTGCACACCACTTTACTACATATTGCATATAGTTTATATATTTTCCATTATAGTCTTATATTTTCTATTTTATCTTATAATACTCTTATTTTGTGATTCTTTATTGTACTTTTTACACTACATTGCTGTATGTCACATGACTTAACTTGTATCACTGGCATTGTGAATTACAACTGTACCATATCATCACACTGATATTTAATTGCCCATCCCTATGCAAAACCAAGAGATACAAATCAGCATCACTGCACTGGTGATGCAAATAAATGTGTCGTTAACACTGTTGACTCTTTTCACTGTGCACAAGTGTCACAGCAGCTATGGGATGGACTCACCGCTGCCATTGTAGCAAGATTTCCAAACTGGAGGTGCAGAGAGCTACAAAAGAACAAATAAACAACACCAATTTGTCAGTCGTACAAGAAATTAATTGCAACATCATGTTTAGAGGAAG